AGGTAGTTCTATGTCAATCTTGGTAACAGCATTTGTGCTTTAATTTCCCTAGGTACAGGGCATGAGGACTTTGGTTGAAACTGAGATTCCTAGGTAAAAGCCAGGATTCCTCCTAAGAATTTCTATATTAATCCACCTTCTGGTGCTAAAGACTCCAAGGAAACAGGACACTGACTGACCTTGGAATCATTCAAGTTTGGCTTCTGAATCCAAAGGAAGAGAAGCATTACGTAAAATACCTCCAAAATGATACTCTCAAAACCTAAGATTTATTTCAATCCTGTAGAAGTAAACTCTGCTAAAACTGAGTTTAACACACACACACACACACACACACACACACACTCATATACACATACATAAACAATCCACTGAGCTAGTGACAGCCAGTGTAACAACCATGAAGATCAAAATGCTATAAATTTGTAATTTATAACTAATAATGGAGGGAAAGTACTCAAAATTTCAGATACTAGAACAGTGTAAAAGAATACAAAGATATATTTAATGTAATTAAAAAACAGAAATAAAGAAGCATAAAAATAAAATTATAAAGAATAGAAAAAATTTTTAAGACACAGAACTGGAAGTTGAACAATAATAAGATGGGTGAAAACATAACTAAAAAGAATGAAAAGATACAAGATACATAAAAATACTATAATAAAGAGAACAGAGATTTGAAGTATAAAAAGTTTTACAGAATGGATGGAAAACATGACTTTTCATATACAAGATGCAAAGCAAATCACACTTAGAAATCTCAGAACCAGAAAGGGGGAGGGGGGAGATTAAAACCAACTGGAATCACCTATTGAGAATAGTAGTAATGAGAGAAAAGTTTTCACCAGAAACAATAAGGACCAGGAAAGGAAAATTCAGTAAGACTGAAAGTTATGAGGTTGAAAAATAAAACCCTCAATCTAGAATTCATTGCCAAGGTAGATAAACTTCCAGAATAATTATAATACAAAAGTGACTTCAGATAAATGTTAAAAGAACTCCTAAGAGATAAACTTTAACAGAAAATTCAAAGAGGAGAGGAACCAAATAAGCAATAGTGTCAAAAAAACTACTCATTTGTGGGAAAATGCTACACTTTGAGATCATGTTAATGAAATAAATTAAACTCTCAAGCTTCAATATTGCATGGATTCTCATGTGAGAATATCAAACTATGAAGAAATTAAAGATCAACAGGATCGATAACAGGAAACAAGGATGCAGATCTTTTGCAAAACAGAAAAGGACCAAGAGATGGAGGGGAAAATTAATGAAAAATGAAGATGCGTTATACATATGTACCATGTCCCCACTATGAATACATCCATTATGTACTGTAAACATGCTACTAAAATAAGCTAATAAAATAAGCGAAAGGACAACTGATAGATATGGGCAAATATAAAAAGCTCTTATTGGGGCCAGGGATATAGCTCAGTGGCACAGCACCTGCCTGGCAAGCATGGGGTTAAAAGTTTGATCCCCAGTACCAAAATAAATAAATGAATAAACAAACAAACAAATAAATAAAGAGCTCTAATTGCAAAAAGGAGTGAACATGTCAGGAAAATATAAAAATCAAGAGTGACACACAAGATGCCAAAGAGGTCTCAGAACACATTTTGATTGTCTAAAAGAGTGACAGAGCTATTAAGTAAAGTTGTGTTTTTAAAGTCAAATACACATGCTTAAAATTTAGGTATAATTTTTAAAGAAAAAATGTCTAATTTATAATTCATAAACAATAAAGGAGGGAAACTGCATTAAAATAAATTAAATCATCTAATCTAATAAGAATGGAAAAACTGTTCACATTTATTTATAATTTATGGTGTAAACTTGCAGTATCCTCTTTAAACTCACAAGGCAAGGATGCTCTCTTACAGCCTCCAGTATTACACAGGAGCTATTAATCAAAGCAACAAGACAAGAAAAAAATTAAAGACATAATAATTGGAAATGAAGAAAGAAATCATTTATTACCTGAAGGAATGTAATTGAAAAATTTTAAGAAATATACAGATCTACCTAACACTAAAAAATAGAACTTCCAAAGTTTCTTAAAAAAAAAACCTGATATACACATTCTTGATATGGTTCTTACATAGTATCAACAGAAGTCTAGAAGATGCAGTTACATCTCTGCAGCTCTTCAGATGGGTGTCAATCTGAGAGAGCTTTTATATACATGCACAGAGAACAGAAATAAGGATATCTTCAATAAAGATTATGAGTTAAATATTACTAAGCAAACAACATGAATCAAACTGTCCTTCACTAGGTATACTTTCACAGTAGCATAAAATACAATGATTAAAATGAAAGCTACTAACCCAGATAACCTCAAAAGCATAAATTTAATGAAAAGATAAGATACAAAAGTGTTAGGTAAAATTTCTGTAAAGCATTGTTTATCAATATATGCATATATAAAAATACAAAAAACTCATTAAATCATGTAGCATAAGAAAATCTCTAACTTCACAAATACAGTTACTTTATATACATAGTTATAAAATTGTTATATGTATCCCAGAATCATAGGATCCCTGTTTTATTTCCTTGGAAAAAATAGTTCAAATAAATATAGCAAAAATTTAGGCAGCTAAAGCAGATACAGAGACTTCTGTGTTATTATTTCCTGTACTCAACTTCTTTTGTAATTATTCAAAAATAAAAAGACATTCGAAGATCAATTGACTTTTTTTTTTTGTCTTTTGTGAGACAGCGTCTCGCTATGCACTTCAGGCTGGCCTTGGTCTCATTTTGTTGCCCAGGCTGGTCTTGAACTTGCAAAGATCATCCTGCCTCAGCCTCCCAAGTGCTGGGATTACAGATGTGAGCCACCATGCCTGGCTGATCAATTGACATTTTAACCAAGATATTTTGAGACAAATTTTCTGATACCGCTTTTATAGTGCATGGAATAATGTAAGTTAATTAAACGTATTTGAAGACCATGAGAACCATGAATGCTATTTTGAAGTTCAGCTCTCACTTTTTCTACCATGTGGATTTTCTGTTTTTCTTTCTCCTGTCTATTTTTAAATGGCATCACTGGCATATCTTAAACTTTCATACAAAGTAAGAACAATAATACAACAAGAGAAACAATAAACCGTATTCCCTTTCCTAGATTTTTAGACTTATATTTATGTTTGTGTCCAGGTGAGCTACAGAAGGATTAATTTATCTCCCCAGGTGCTGCTGCACCAGCCAAGATCATTATTCACACATCAGAGAGCTAGAAATCTTTAGGGACCACCTCCTCTAGTAATAAGTTAAATACCTTACTTTGAGATTTGGTTCCTGGTTGATTTAAAAAAAAACAACATTTAAAATAAACCTTCTGCTGGGAGGATAATGCTGATGACAGGTGACTCATTCCCAAATTTCCCCCAGCCTATTTGAAAATTTTATTTTTCTTATGACAAAAGAGAGTAAATACTTAAAAGGGTAGTTTTATACTTTCTACCCTTTCTGCATAAATAGCATCAAAAAGGACTTTTCTCCATCACAATTTCAGCAAGAACAATAACTAGAATCCATGGAATATATAATAGCAGTTACTGTGTTTGGAGTTAACTTTGACATTTGCAAGTTAAAGGCAGTTTGTGTCTATTGTTTGAAAATGAATTATTTATTCTTTCATTGGTTTAGTTTAGATTAAATCTGTATATATCCTGATTTATATTAACATCTCTGTCCCAATCTCCTATCTCTTCCGGATTCTGCAATATACACAAACTGGTTCACAAATACCACCACTGAATAAATGTTCAGGTATAGTAACATTAAACTGCCAAGTGAAGTCCATAAAGTGAAGCCTAGGAAACAGCCAAAGACACATATATTTGATCCCAAGTCCGAATGTTCAATATATTCTGGTACACTCAGTTATTTCAAGGAAAGATAACTTCAAATTTAAAAACAATTCATTGTGCATTAAAAAGCACATTTACTGAAACTTCATTTTTGCAAATTTAAATAGTGGTTTTATCACACACATCTGTTTTCACACAGATAATAAAACAGATCAGCACCCATGTTCTTCACACATAAAGCCAAAAAATGCCATAGAATAAGCCACAGGAGATCTCAGGATATAAGAAACCCTCTAGACAGTTACTACATGTGAAGCTCAGATACTTTACACTGTTGCTTTTTTTTAAAGTACTGGCGTCTGAGCTACATTATTCTCAGCCCATTTTTAATTTTTTTTTTTTATTTTGAGACAGGGACCCACTAAATTTCTAAGTTGCTCAGATTGGGCTTGAATTTTCCAGCCCCCTGCCTCAGCCTCCCAAAGTGCTGGCATGACAGGAGGGCATTCCCACCTGTTGTATTTTAAACCTGATCCACAGAATTTTTTAAAAAATCCCTTGGAGGCTTCTCTCCTTTAGAAGACAAAACCACTAACATCTTCAGTAGGATGTACAGTGGAGAAGAGTGCAGGAAATTGAGCTAAACGTGGGGAAACTATTTGCTGACACACACTCATGGCAACTCAACAAAATAATTCATGCTCAACAGAAATCACACAAGCTTGCAGTATCTCATGGCATAAAAATGCCCAGTGGAAACACTCCATTTAAATATTTTATTTTAAGTTAGGCTTCACTGCAAAATACTATGAAGTCCTGTAACAAACTGGTAAAATGGCTGCCTTACGGAATTTCAGAAGGAGAATACTAAATTTTAAAAAATAATTAGCAGGATACATTTTCTTCCACAGTTAATATATTCACATCATCATTAAAAATAAGTAAAACATAATAAAATTACTGTGTACCCCAAAGATGAAGTTTAAAAACAATCTAACTTTTTTGCTTCCTATTTAAGAATCACCTGGCACAGCACATTATGTACCAATGTTTATGCAATCAAAATTTCTTAGCAATCATAAGACTACATGATTTCATAAAATAATCCAAATTCTCACAGGAAATCTAATTCTACTATTCCACCTTGACCAAAAAGTTAAGAAGCACACGTACCTCAACAAAGATAAAACATGGGATGATGGAGTAACTTCGTCGAGTGTTGTTGCCTACAGCCATTTCTCAGACCATGTAACACGACTGCACCGTCTAGAACTTTCTAGGCTGAAATAGAAATAGACATAGGTTGCATGGTGTGGTAGCCACTCGTTGAGAAATCCCTTACGTATATACATAACAATATCAGTTACCCTCTGGATAAACAGGCTGTGCATAAACAATGCAAAATAATGATCCATGGCATAGTCAAATCAAGCTAATAACCACTGCCGTGAAAAGCAAATTGTACATACTGCTGTGAATAGTTTCAGTACCAGAATTACCAAGAAGGAGGTCCCTGGGGCACAGAGATATAACAAACAGAATTCTAACTTACTAGAACTGCATAGAGCCTTAACCCTGTATACTATTTTCAGTTCAAGGAAAAGTGTCTGGCATAAAATATTCATTCTGTATGGAAATCCCCTAACTTGTGCCTGGTTTGCCCATGCTTGTTTCCCCTTGGAACCAACATTCAGTCCAGGCACTCATCTCTGTCCTCCTTCCATCACCATTATTTGGCCTTGCTCTCCTAACTGTGGAGCCATGAACTCCTCTGGGTTAATACATCACCCCTCTGTCTCTCTAGGTGTCCTCTTCCCAGCGTGTGCAAATCAGACGTGAGCAAAACAGTAACCCATGCTCTGAACTTTCAAGAATGGAAGGGTTGGGGCTGGGGAGTTAGCTCAGCGGCATAAGTGCCTGCCTTGGAAGCAGGTAGTCGTGAGTTCTATCCCCAGTACCAGTAAAAAGGAAAAAGACAAAAAAAAAAAAAAAAAAAAAAAGAATGGAAGGGTTTGGCAAAAGCCGATTACTATGAAATATTTTATTAGAACATCCCCATCATGATTTGAATTGAATGCATACCTGTGTAGGAGATAAGTTAATTTTTGTTCTTTTTAGTAATAGCAATGAAAATTTTAGTCTTTTATGAAACTTGGATGATTAAAAGAAGTTTTCCACAATACCTTTTATGCTGCCTTGAAAGCAGTGACGCAAATGGTTCAGAGAGCTGCTCTACACAGTTTTTCACTCGTTCAGTTTCTGCGTCATTCCTACCAATAGCTCTAGTGGGCTGTGACATGAAGTGTGACATAGAGATCACTAGTCTACTTGAATGCCACTTACATTTTTAAAGGTTATGAATTAGTGTTAATGTCTTTAAACCATTTCCTACAATGAAACTTTAAAGTACATTTTTTCCTATTTTTTCACTGTTTTTTGTAATACAGATGAATGGATTTCCGTTTTCACATTCATATGTGCATACAACATATTTTGATCAATTAAGATATCTTATGATAACTTAGTATTATTATGTGCTTTATTCATCTTTACAATCACAATATTTAAGTTTTAAGCAACTTATTTTTTCAATTAAAATTGGCTGTTACCTATTATAAAATAATATACAAAATAAATAATTACCCTTCCATTTTGGCATTTAAGAACGAGTATTTTGTAGATTAAGAAAGAAGTCTACACAAATATATGTTTTTACACATTGACTTAGTTTGATAATCATTTATTGTTTTTATTTTTCTCTTAAACTAAATATATCTTTAGAATTAACTCATCAATATATACAGTTCAGGTAAGTTTTGGTAGTATCAGCTAAACACAGTACAATAAATATGAAAAGAAAAATTTTAGGAAAAATCTAGAAGACATTAGACATCTAGTAGTTTATATGACTTTTCCAAACAATTAATAAGGATCATCAATAAAACAATAAAGACAAGCTCTGATATATAATATACAACCTAGATCTGTGTGTGTGTGTGCGTGTGTGTGCATATGTGTGCATGTGTGTGTGTGTGTGTGCGTGTGTGTGCATGTGTGTGTGTGAAAGAGGGTGAGGAGAAGAGGCAGAGGGAGACAGAACTAAAGTATATTTTCTATATCATATAATTCACCTATGTCAGTATACGATTTAGTGATAGTATAACATTTTAACCAAGTTGTTCAATATCCCTAAAACAGTTTAGAATGGTTTTCTTCATCCACCACTGAACTATCATTCCTATTTATCTTTAGGCTTTACCATCACCTCTTTCATTGCCTTCTAAGCCCACATAATTGTTAACATATTTCTGACTACACAGAGTTACCTTTCCTGGATTCTCAAATAAATAGACTCATACAATATGTGGTCTTCTGAGTCTGCATCCTTTCATTTAATGTAATGTTTATGAGATGATTACATGTAGTAGTACATATCAGTAGTTTTCCTCTTATTATTGCCAAATATTATTTTATCATATGACAACAATATCTTCAAAATTTGGTAGAAAATTATACTATTTTAAATTTTGTCTTTTTTCAATTTTAGGATGTATTCAGTGTTAACAATAATGATACTAATAACATGCATATGTAAGTCTTGTGTGAATATTAATTTTCATTTCTCACAAGTAGATATCTATGAAAATTGTGAGATCATATGCCAAATTGTTTTTTTTAATTTTATTTATTTTTGGGGGTTAGTGGAGATTGAACTCATGACCTTGTAAATACCAGGCAGGTGCTTATGCCACTGAGCTAAATCCCCAGCCATTAGCCAAATTGTTTGTACTTTAACAAACCCATCAAAGTATTTTTCAAAGTAGTATATGCCTTTTAACATTTCTACCTGCAGTATATAAGTATTTCTACTTCTCATCCCAAATGATACTATTAATGTATCTCTTCTTACTGTATATTTTATTTTGTATTTTTCTTACAACAAATGATGTTCACCATATTTCCTGTGTGCTTCCACTGAAAATTTTGTGTTAAAAATTTTCATGATTGATTAGCTCATTTTACTATTTTTCCAAGTATAAGAATCCTTTGTATGGTCTAGATATAAGCTATTTGTCATATATATACTATTTATAGTATAAATATTTTTGCAATTACTTTCAGTCTCTTCTTGCCTTTTGCCTTTTAAGTAGTGATGCCATATATATATATATATATATATATATATATATATATATATATTTCTATATATGTTAGGGTGTATTTTATATATAGTATCTTACTGGTATAATAATTATTTACTTTGGTACCAAGAATCAACTTGCCAAGCAGGTGCTTTGCCTCTGAGCTATATCCCTGAAAACAACTTTTAATCAGAGATTTTTCTTATTAAAGTTTAATTTCAAAGATCGTCAACTACAGACATTAATTATACCCTATTATCATTCTAATCTAGACTTTCCCACAGCAACATAAAAGTGTAAAAAGTGTAAGCCAATGTCAAGATAAAATAAAACTAAGCATTAACATTTACAAGATAATATTAACAATTTAGCAAAATGGGTATGATGAATATGCAATCAATTTATGCAAGAAATATGGATAACTAGTGAACATATGAAAATATTCAGTGTCTTTATGTCAGATCATGAAAACTAAAACAATGCTGAAATATACTTCTGAAATTGGATAAAAGTAAATACCTAATGACCTTGAAGTTTGAAAAGCAGTAGAAGGTCTTTTACATGAGTGTCTTGTGTAATACCATTTTCAGGAGTGATTCAGCAGTGCAATATGATGTAAGATTCTGATTCCCTTTACCACAAAAGAAAAGTTCATCAATACAAAAGTCTCATGTACTTCGTTAACAATGAACTATCTGAAAAATAAATTAAGAAATCAAAACTATTCACAATAACATTAAAAAATACATCACTTATGAATAAGTTCATTCAAGGAGATACAAGATCTATACGAGGAAAACTGCAAAACATTGATGAAAAATATTTAAATATCAAAAACAAAGGAAAAAGTATTCTGTGTTCATGGACTGGAAGAATTAATATAGCTAAGACGTCCATGTTATTCAATATGACTTACAGATTTGATATAATTCATATCAAAATTCTAATGGCATTTTTTTTTACAGAAGTAGAAAAGCAACCCTCTTATGATGCCTGGTTGGGGAGAGACCTCTTGTTTCTACTAGGTCAAGATAGATTTTAGGCTTCCCACTAGTCCTACACTGAAACCTCAATAACAGGGAAAGGAAATGATACCTCTTTATTTGCCCTGTAGCCTCCACTGATGCTTTAAGTCGGTGTTCTTATTATTGGGGTGAGTTGTGATTTTCCACCAGTCTTCCTCGGACTCCAGTCTAGTGAAGAGGTAAGAAGGGTTGCTCATTGCGGCCAATTGAGTAAAAATACTGAATGTCCACGTTATCTCCCACTGGGCATCATCTGTTATGACCACAGCGGGATCCTGAGAATTTACTTATAGCATGAAAAGGTGGAAGTGGTGGGTCTAAGTCCAGCATTTGTTGGCAGAAGTGGTGTTTGGTCTGGGCCAGAGTTGTTATCTACGTTTCCTGGCTTCTCACACCTTTCCTTGCCCTTGGGCTAAAATAAAGAGAGCTTACTTAGGGATTTTTAAAAGTCTGTTCCTATTATGTTTGCACTTGCTAGCTTTTCCAGTACTTAACCTGAGATATATAAAGTGGAATGAAAATCCTAGGAACTCACTGCTCTGTGGTTCCTTGTGTTCTAAATACTTGTCTGTCTGTCTGTCTGTCTGTTTCGGTCTCTCTGTCTCTGAGATGTACTAAAGCCACAATAACTGGTAGTTACAGTCATTTTGAACTCTAAAAGAGAACCAAATACAGATAGTTTTACCCATTAGGTACTACAGGCCCAACTCTAAGGGTGGTGAGCAATTTGGGAGCACATATAGATGGTGTATCCTATTTTATAAAAATATAAATATTTTAGAAGTACCCTAAATGTGCAAAGCCAAATGAATATATGTAAAGAAATACTTAGAAGAGTAAAACTCTGGAAACTTCAATTACTCCTAAATTTAGTATTCATAATTCAATTTGTAAATAATTTAGAGGTGATATTTTTCGTAATTTAAACAATTGTTTTTCAAACTAGAAATAACTAAAACTAGTGATTCCAAAAAGAATCCAAAAGAAATATTACAAAAATATCTTTATCTTGCTTTGCCAAAAAATAAAAATTCACTGTTGGATATGGATTCGTCTTTACAGGTTTGTTATCACAGAGAGAAGGGCTCAAAAAGTGATCACGAAAATTTAAAAT